TCATAGATCGATTGAGAGAAAACAACTGCCATATTCCTGACTTGGTACAGGAGATTTTAAGAAAAAATGGTGGGTTGAACCTGGTTTTATGGCTAGCCAAACCTCCCGCTTATATGGCAATGTTAAAAATAGATGTTTGCTTGTTTGTTTAAAGTCTAGTTTTAAATATTTCATTTATATTCAGAACGACGGAGACGAAATCAATAATTAACGCAATAGGCTGGCCGAGATTAAGAGCGGGATATGCGACTACCAGGGGGAAATTAGTATATCATGGTTAGGGGTAGAATTTTTAACTTGCAACCAGCCACCGACGAACCCCTTATAAATTTGTTTCAAATGTTCTTTAACGTGAAGAAATTTCGGCTTCGGATTAAGTGCAACAATAACAAACGCCAATGCAACATACATAGAAAAGAACTATTTGATAACAACTGCCATATTCCTGACTTGGTACAGGAGATTTTAAGAAAAAATGGTGGGTTGAACCTGGTTTTATGGCTATCCAAACCTTCCGCTTATATGGCAATGTTAAAAATAGATGTTTGCTTGTTTGTTTAATGTCTAGTGTTAAATATTTCATGTATATTCAGAACGACAGAGACAAAATCAATAATTAACGCAATAGGCTGGCCGAGATTAAGAGCGGGATATGCGACTACCAGGGGGAAATTAGGATATCATGGTTAGGGGTAGAATTTTTAACTTGCAACCAGCCACCGACGAACCCCTTTGAAATTTGTTTCAAGTGTTCTTTAACGTGAAGAAATTTCGGCTTCGGATTAAACGTCCCCATCCGACCGGATGTGGCGGCAGATTTACACATTCCGCCTAATTTTAGAGAGTATTTTACTGTAGGAATGGGAGAAATCCGGTTGTCCGTATTTCCATACTGAAGTATACCTTTGAGAGATGCAGTCCAACATAACAGGACAACATTATTGAACAGAACGTGTCTTTTGAATCTTCAACATGCATGCTATTATTTTCTTCTATTTGATTTTGCAGTAAAAAATAAAATAACAAAAATACCGAATTCCAAGGAAAATTAAAACGAAAAGTATTCTAACAAATGGCAAAATAAACAGCTCAAACACATTACACGAATGCATATGGAAAACAACTGTCATATTCATGTTAATAAACAGTTAAATCCTTCTTCAAACTTAAAAAAGATTAATCTATGCACGTAAAATATTTCTAAACTATTTATTTAGGAGTAAAAGAAAAGACACATTCGAATTCTGTCCAAAGTGTTAATTGATTGACACTGGACGTTAAGCAACCAACTATCAATCAATTATTGTAAGCTATGTAAGCTGATACGATAACACCTTTCAGAATAGGTCATATTCCTGGAATCATCAATTTCGTCTTGTTCCTTTAATTGGAATAAGTCTTATCCAAAAGATACGAAACGTTCACATTCAAAAATGTTTCAAGGTTAACGATAAAAAGATTATTACAGTGCAGTATCTAGTTTGGATCATTAAACATTCATAACGTATCCAATAACTAATAAAGTCTTAAACTGAATTTCTTATACACTTTAAACTAAGATAAAACAAATATGGTATCATATAACATCATCATCATATAGCGGGCTTATTTTGGCAAGTGCTTCAAAACACTTGATGCAAATATTATTTGTAATTATTTTTTTAAAGTTTTCAATGGGATAACGGAAAAGACTACGTCATAAATCAAAATAATTGGACAAGTAAGGAAACGAATAGTTTTCTATAATCAGATTTCACCTTATGTATTGTTAAAACATTCATAAGCATCTGAACTGAAGAGATGTACTGGACTATATTTTACATTGTCGTTTATCTAGTATCTCACAGACTTGTAACAGGTAATGTGATTTTTTTTTTTTTTTTTTACATACAACACATTTACCGAATTATAATTTTTGACATGATACATTTGCAAACCTACATGGATTGCTTTAAAACTCGGACATGTCGGACAGAAGCTAATTTTCAAAATCAAGAAAAAGCATTTAAAGAAAACGTTGGATTTTTTTAAATGATAAATTGACTTTTTACAGTCAACATTACACTTTTACACTGACAGCAGCAATCACAGACACAGACACGAGACACAGAGTTCCACGGAACCCTTTAAGAGTATTTTTATTATAATACTGCTTACATTTCAAGTCGTCAATTCCGTTGCAATATATAACATTAAGTGTTTTTGTTTTTATTACACATTTTCAGTTGAATCATTCATATATTGCATCCAACATCTTCAACTTAGAAGGTGTCAAAAAACTGGATATGACGAATGATTGTAAAGAACTTTTTCTAAAATATCTTTCACAAAAACAAAAAAAAAACAATTACAAGGAGTTTTTGAGGTCATGCTAACATTTTGGAAAAGTTTATAATTGTATAAATACAACTTTTACTGTTTGCTAATGACAAAAAATAGTACTCGAAGACGGTATTTGTTTGAAGTACATGGATATAACGCAACCCTTAAGACATCGTCAATAAGATGTTTACCAGACCTACATATCACTATTTTCATGCTTTTATTTAAACCAAAATGTTCACAGTTATAACATAAACATTTTAAAACAAAAGTCTATAAAGGAATTGCGAGTAATTACAATTTTAAGTGAACTCTGTGATTTGTAGCCGCTCTCTACGTACATTCTTTACATTTATTAGTCAATTTTATTAATTTGTAATCGATTATATCGCTGAAAGTAAAAATTCTTCATATTTCATTATTTGTTATTGTCAGATGCAGTTGAACAAATTCTGAATGCATGCAAAATTTTACAAAAAAGCCAAATATTGCCAAATTACGTAATATACTCTTCCTTAAAGGAACTCTCTTTTTACATATATGGATCTGTAAATTCAGAAACTATTGCGAGGTTTTTATTAATGCGAATAATGCGACTAGGTGAATATCGCAATAATAAGAACTCGCAATTTAATAACTAAAACATAGATCTGTATGTAGTTTTTTCTGAAATCGCAATAATTAAACTCGTATTCTTGTCCATTTTTGAAAAATCGCAATAATAAATGCACGCAATAATTTCTGAATTTACAGTAATTTGTTTTACAATTCGCAATGGATATTTTCCTTGTATCATGTTGTTCAGGTCTATATCTTGTTGACGGTGATTGAGTACTTTAACCTAAGAGAGCGATAATTTTAGAGAAAAAAATACTAATAGACATATGCAACATTTTTCCCTACGCAACTTCCTTGTTTGGGAATTAAGAACGCATTATGTAAAAAAAAAAGATGTCTAATGGAATGGTATAAAGCAAAGTAAAGAGATAATGTCACCATTTCATTATGTGCTTTATGTTCTTCATAATGTCCACAGCACCTTTTTAATGGCCTTGTTTTAGTTTGAAACCCGGATTTGTTTTCTCTCAATCGATTTATGACTTTTGAACAGCGGTATATTACTGTTATTTATTTTACTGCCTTTATTTAACTAATTACTTGAAAATAACCAATAATGCAACTTTCGTCACAAAAACGAAAAGTAAGATTCAACTGTTTATTAACATGCAAAATTTTTCCAGATGCTTCAAAGGTTAGGCTTGTGGATGGAAAGTCCTTTCACGAAAATGGCGCTGATATTCATGAAGGACGCTTACAGGTTTTTCACAATAACGAATGGGGGAATGTCTGCGATGATGAAATCACTCAGACTTCAGCCGAAGTGGTTTGTGGAATGTTAGGATTTTACGGGTAAATATATAATAATCTTTATTCTATATATCTTTAAAGCATATTTAAATGCGAACGACTGGAATGTTACTAAACTTCCTGTGTTTGAAACATTAACTAGTTCTGGAAGTTCTCTGTTTACTTGGAACAAATTATTTGTTAGATTGTCTAGAATTACTGTTAATATTCATACTGCTTGAACAAGAAGATTCCAATTTCTTTTTTAATTTTTTATGTGGTAGTCTTTCGTCGATTGAAGGTCCTTTGGCATAAAAGTAACCATTTTATTACACTTCCATATGTACGTACGTATACGTGATTATCAGAAATTATATCTAGGCATATACATTTTCCACCCGAACTACTGGATCACTCGCCTATCACCACTGATGATGCGAGTTCCTTTTTTCTTTAGATTATAAACTCAACTTTCAGTGATTTAAAATAGATTTAGAATCTAAGGAAATATTGGAAATGAGAATACTACAGCGGTATTGCACTAAATTTGTTTATATTTCTCGAGTAGAATGTTACATTGCACGAGCTCGTATGTGCATTTGATATTCTACGAGGTATGATCTTAAGAATCATATTCATAACAACAACTAAAACGGTATTTACTTGGAAGTCTTGAAAAGGGTAAACACTAGTAAAAGTGAGGAAAGAAAGGACGGTATTGTGGTCAAATAAGTCAAGATAGCGCTTGTAAAATGTTTGATTAGACGATACTCACTATTATCAATACGAACTTTGGATTCATTTGAATATTTGTCAACTGAACCCTCTACTTATCAAGCTGTGAATGGAAAGACATTATTTGGAATATCCTACCACTTGTGATATATGTCGTGATGCTAGATTGCTCCGTGTTGAAGGCCGTACTTTGACCTATAATGGTTTACTTTTACAAATTGTGACTTGGAAGGAGAGTTGTCTCATTGGCACTCATACCACATCTTCGATGTACTGTATTTGGATCGTTAAAATGACATTTGTTGGGCACCGAATATTATTACACACTGTTCGTATGTATTATATTGTATTATCCTCCTAAATATAAGAGACTGCAATGTCGCGAATTTCCCAAGAAATGAAAGAGATATTCATGATACGATTTGCAGAACATTCTGAAGAAATGCAGTTGATTCGATAATTATAATGCAGTCATTATTTACTAACATAATGTGATAGCCTGTTATTTTATGTATTTTGTATATTTTTATATTCTTAGTATTTAGTATTAGTATATACTTGAATAAAGTTATATTGTAAGCTTATCAATTACATTTTGTAATTAAGGATTAGCATTGTGTATTATTCTATTTTAACTTATTGACATGGACTATTGACGGACGAATTCTCATATCATGTTTTGGTTAAGTCTGATTTCACTGTAGTTAGTACTTTATTTTCACGGTTGATTTGAGCGCTATCGTACATTTCTTCTATTGGTCAGTACTTTTGGCGGTTTAATTCCTTTGTTCTAGATCTTATGGGAAGACATCTTGTGGGCAACACCTATATATTTACCTGTCTGCAATTTAACAACTTAAAGAAATTAATATCTAAAATAACAATTCTGTGATTGGAAAGTTTCTTATATAAGGTCAGTCTTATTTTCCGTGATTGGAAAGTTTCTTATATAAGGTCAGTATTATTCTTTCTTTATTAATTTTGCAATAACTGTCCAAAAGTTCATATTTTACACGTATGCATGTTTAGATTGAATGTCGAGAACGAGTGTTAAATTTTATAACAAAAGAGATCGTAAATGTATTTAAAACATAAGAAGATTAGAATTTTACGATCAGATATAATAATACTTCATTAACCTATTTAAATCTGGTATAATAATTTAAAGATAAAACTTTACGTATAAAAATTGAATGAATGCACGTATCGAGCGGCCCGGTATGAATGCGTAATTTTTAAAGGTTAATCGAATTAAAGTAAATATATCTTAGAGCTAAAAATAGATATCTTGGTTTAATATTGATTTTTATAGTAAACATGAGTTTGTACTATAAACAATAAATAATGCTTAACAGAGATTTATAATAATCATTTTTCTTATACAGGTATATTTAAACCTTACCAAAGATGTAGTGTTTGTTTATATAATGGTTTATATGGAAATGTGCCACTTGCACGATATGTGAGGTAAGCTAAGTGTATTTGTATTCTCGTTTCGCTTAGCTTTAGTTTTTAATATTTGCTTTGCTATATTGTTACTTTTTGTGCTTATTTGCTTTTTGATTTAACCAAGCACGCAGCTTACGTTTGGTAAGAGTTCCATATGGCACCCCCACCATACTAAAAGAACCCAATAATGTATTGCAGTTTATTCCGTGGGGGTGCCATATGGAACTCTTTCCTTACGTTTTTGTGTAGTTTATGTTACCAACACAAGTAATAATTATAATAGACATTGGTATGAGACAGCATATGAGAACATGTACTATAATATCTAAGTCTAATTGGTTTAACTGTAATTGAGACAAGTAATGGCTATTGTATCCACAGTATATATTTTTGTGACTAGATACATAAGTATGCAGCTAAATAAGTTTGCATGATAATGAATTACGAACATTAGTTTTAGTTATTACTTAGTAAACAGATTTATCTATCTGTAACTTTTAAGTACATTTATATTTTACAGGGCTGTATTTACATATTCATATAGTTACTTCGTTTCGTCTGAATAAAAGTTGCAGAACCCTAGATTGAAGTTAGTTATTTATAACTAAAAGCCTGAGGAAAACCGGCTTTTACAATAACAATACCTGTATGATTTCTCTTCTTCTTTTGATCATTCCTGGTTTTGACTGAACTGGTCTAGCCCCAAAATAGAGCAACTCTGTTCATATTCCTCTCCTGTCTGTACACAAACTCTCACTGATGTATTCAGATACATTATGATTTTGATTAATTTCTTCTTACCCGTAACACTCTAAGTCACATAGCTTATTTTACATTGTTATAAACATCTGTGATCCTAGGCGAACAATAGAAAGTTATTCAATATTATCGCTAGAACAACAAACTTAAAGTACGATGCAAGTTATATAACTACACGATCATTTTAATAAGAAATTTAAAATTGAAGTTATTTGTAAGCGCCATCTATAGGTCGTATGTAAGTTGCAATTTTTTACATGTTATAACATGTACAGAAATATTGTACATGTTATAACTTGGACAATGCAAAAATAAAGTTATAACATGTACAATAGTACCTCGTACATGTTATAACTTGTACAAAATATTACTTGAAAATGGTTTTAACTTGTACATATTTGAAAATAAAGATATGATTCTAGTATTACAACACTTGTCATTAACCTCAATAATATTTTCATCATTTTTTTATTGATCATTCATGTTAGTGTGTTTTGTCCTTTTCGATACCGTTAATGAACAGATGAATAGTTTTTATTATTACTTTTAAAACACACATGTTGTCAATAAAATTCTCACCTGATGAATTATAATTGTGAGTTTCAACTCAGAAGGCAATATGAATGTACTTTCATACAAGTTGATACTTAAGATGCAAGTGGATAGCCAGGATAGATTTTACAATGCAATCATTGATATGTGGAGGAAAAATTCATCTGCAAAGAACACTTTGTTTTTAAAACGAGATGATAGAAATGTTGATAAGGAGTGTTAAGCAGGCAAAAAATGCAACTAAACCTACTATCAAAGAAAGAGACCCTCTAAAGCAGTACGTTAGATGTGTCTGAAGTCCCAAATAAGTGATATGAGTCTGAGTGAGATAGAGAGCGAGTTATAATTGAGTAGAGGGCAAGGTTTAAAGCATTGTCAATGTAAGTAAGGCAATTGTAAGTCTGGTAGGTGTGAATGTAGAAGAATGAAAGTTGTGTGCAACTCTAGATGTCACATGTCTATGTCTTGTAGCAACAAGTAAAGAAAACTCGTTTGTAAAATGTATGAAAATGTAGTATTTTATCCATGCTGTAAATAATGCACCTTTCTTTTGCTTTTGATAATTAATCTTTATCATTCGAAGACGGCTTTATTTGAATTTATTTTCAATTTTTCTGCAGGTAAAAAAACATTGTTAAGCAATATTTTGTACATGTTATAACATGAACAAGTTACTATTGTACATTTTATAACTTGTATTTTTGCATTATCCAAAATTTAACATGTACAATATTTCTATATATGTTATAACATGTACAAAATCGCAACTTGTACTTGTAACGACCCTTCCGGAGCACCTGAGATCACCCCCAGTTTTTGGTGGGGTTCGTGTTGCTTAGTCTTTGGTTTTCTATGTTGTGTCATCTGTACTATTATTTTTCTGTTTGTCTTTTTATTTTTGGCCATGGCGCTGTCAGTTTGTTTTCGATCTATGAGTTTGACTGTCCCTCTGGTATCTTTCGTCCTTCTTTTGTACACGACATATATGTATAATCTAATTCTTTTGTTTTCTGAATTAAGAATCATGCATCAATAATAAGTTATAAAATGAAAGGAAGTCTGACTATCTGGACCATGTGTTGTTCGTTATTGTCTGTATTGGCTAGTACTTATGCTGTTTTCATGTTAGTCCAATGTACACGTATGTGTTGTCTGATGTGCTGTCTATTTTTTTTGGGGGGTGATTTTTTGTTATTCTCTAGTATAACCTGTACTATATTTCTATTATATGACAGTAATGCAAATGAAATACTTACTACCTTCAAGAATGGTAATAAATGAATACTCCTTGATAATGTTGAGTGTGATGGATGGGAAACAGATATTATGAATTGTATACATGACGGATGGGGAGCACATGACTGCTCTCACGAAGAGGACGTCGGAGTTAGATGCGCGGTAAATGTTTTCAATGTTATTTCTCTTCACTATACTTTATAAATAAGACTCTTTATCGTTTAAGTATTCCAGTTGTACATGAACCGTGATCAATGATGATAAATAGTTAATCATGTTTCATTGAATTATAATTATCACCGGATTTGTACTTACATGACCAACACAAACGGTGCCATATGCGGAGCAGGATCTGCTAACACTTCCGGAGCATGTGAAATCACTCCGGTGGTTCGTGTTGCGGAGTCTTTACTTTTCTATGTTATGTTTTATATGCTATTTTTTTTTCGTTTTTTGCCATGCCATTGTCGGTTTATTTTCAACTTATGAGTTTGAATGTACCTTTTTTGATTAATAAATCGTTTTGGAGAAGTTAAGAGGACTATGACAATAGACATTTGTATGATTTTTTTTATTACTTTAGTGAGGATGAATGGGATATAATTGCCATTATATCAAAGGTTTTACTTTGATCAATGCCAGTTAAAATCAATATTATGTTGCAGAACAAAATTGGAGGTTAAGCAAGTCTACAGAAGGGTTTGTTGAGATTCACATAAATGATTCTTATATACCAGTATGCTACACAAATTATTCAGAAGAAATGATTTGCCAATCACTTGGTTTAGTAGGAAGGTAATCCATATTACTAAAGTTAACCGAATTTGTAAGACATAATGGAACGAACGGACAAGAAGTTAATCTAAAAGAGAGAAAAATATTTCACTGAAATACGTAACAAGAATTATCAAAGGAATTGTTCTTTTTTTTCCTTCTTAAAAATTGACTTCATCATCTTTCATCCCTCACAATAATTTTAAGGGTCCACGAATGTCAAATTCTCTGGTTTGTTTTATATTTTTTTATTGGCAATCTTCAAATATCTCTATCAAGTTGGTACATGATAGTAATCTATAAATTACAAATAAAACCACCGTAGTATATTATGTTGCCCGACAGAGAAAGTGGATATTCGAAGCCAGGTATTGGTTACACTTATGAAGAGTGCACATTCTTATAAAAGTACATGTATAATCCTGTGTACAATTAAAATTGATGTTCATTAAATATCTGATGTCTACATGGTGAACATAACAATTATCTATGATTTTATTCTTTTCAGCATAAGATTGTAGGAGTCGTCCCGGCCTCTTCAAAAGTTCGACAGTTTGTGGACATAAGTTGTACTGGCAACGAAACGATTTTATCACAGTGCACTAGGACGATTATTGAATATGGTGTATGTAAAAACTGGGCTAAACGCTTTTAAATGTAAGCTTAATTATTGTAGACATTAATAGAAACTTGTTAAGGGTCAAGTAATGCTATGTAATACGGCATTGTATATACTCTTTATTGCTCAGATGTATGATTCTATCTGAAGATTTACAGCCTAAGAAATAGACTGCCAACATCTAGATATCACTTAAAATTGAGAACACAAACTAAGAAAGAACGGGACAGCGTTATACATTTTATACAATTGAAATTAGTTTCTGATAAAAAAAATAAGGGTGTACCGATGATAACAAAATTAAAAAAACATCATAATACTTTTACGTAGATTAACTTTGTCTTGTTTCAGGTCATCAAGTCTGTAGTCTGCACTTCTGAGTTGACTGAAATATCATTGATATTTTTCATTTCCTGTAAAAAGTACTGTTGATAATATATTGAATTATTCAAAACACTAAGGTTTTGCCCCGCATGTCATATCTTTCCTTATCGAATAAGGCCCAAATTTCGGAATGTTCTGTTTTAGTACTATTCAACTTCGTTTCGTTTTTTAATTTAGCATTCCAACTGCTTTGATTCGAGCGCCATTAATGTGTCTTATGAAGTCGAAAAGCCAAGCATTGTTTTATTTGTGTTTTAAAATATCGGTGTATGTTAGCAACAGGGATTTCTACATAAATATGTTATTTGGCCTACGAAAGAACTTTTTAAGAACTACGTAATGTATACGTAAACGCATCATAGATACAAAATTTTGTACGTCAGACGTGTGTTTTGTGACTGAAAAGACTCACAAGTGACGCTCGAATAAAAAAAAGTTAAAAGGTCGAGTTATAGATAGGATTTTGAATATTGTTATGCATGTTATGCACCAATTGATTTTGTCACAACGTGAGCCATTTTGACGGAAATGAAGAAAAGTGTTGAGTTTATTCAGGTTTTTTTTCGTCATATTGAAACATTATGCAAAGTCAGGAAGCAACACTATAGGATAAGATGTGGTATAGGAGTATAAATTAAAAATGATAGAATTTGTTCATACTTTGCTTAAACGTAGTATATATTGTGATATGTTCA